CATCTTGACTTCAGGAAAACGTAACAGTTTCCTGATATGTTCTTTGAAAAAGACAGTGAATTTGCTAGAATATAGAATCATTTTTATTTGACTGAACAACCAACCAAAGAGAATTAATTCTCTAATTAGCTGGTGGGGTTGGTAAGACGGGGCTGTTTTCTGTCATGGCCTACCTGTGGGATAACCAATGACTTGGAAAAATCATCCCCATGGGGGCAGCAGAGAGCGTTAACAAAGAACCACCTGAATTTCTGAAACCTGGTGAAAATTGTTATATATAAATATTAGGTAACATTTATCTGCTGCTTACAATGAGCTAGGCCCTGTGTTGACACTGCACATATATTATTTAATATAATCATTAAAACAGGGACCTATGACATGGATGTTATTTTATATTTGCCCTTTTTACAGAAGAGAAAACAAGCTCAGAGAAGGAACTTGCCCAAAGTCATATTAGTGAGGGTCAGAGCTGGCAAATGAAGGGAACAGGTTAAGGAGAATTTTGGACAGCAGATCATTAGGATTCAGTGACTGATTTTGGTCCCTACTCTTCTACTCAGGAGCCAGCAGATACTGGAATTCTAGCTAGGGGCTTACAGCTAGGTTTGAAGTACAACTGAAATTAGGAGCAAGTATGTTTGGGTGAAAATGAGTAGCTAGAGCAGCTTGGAGTTAATGGGAAACCGAGACCTAGAGAGGACTGTCAGGTCAGCAAGTCATTGTAGGATAAAGTTCAAGAGGAAAGCCCAGGCAGGGACACAGGGATCAGAGTGGGCCTGGAAGAGTCAAGAGGATACTTGTGACAATAAGTTGCTAACAGGGTATAGAATTCCTTAAGGGAACGTCTGGTTTAAAAAGATTTTAATTCTGGCAGAGCTGGGGAACAGCATGGACTGGGACAAGCAGCCTCAATAGAGTATTCAGATTAAAAAAGATAAGAGATCTACTATAATTTGAATTGGTAGTACCATTGACTGGGAAAAAAATATTTAGTAGGGACATAGTAGCTATCTGAAGGGCTGACATTTAGCTCTGATGTGTTGATCCAGAGGAAAAAAAAATAGGACCAATAAATGGAAGTTACAAAGAGATTTTTCTAAGTACAGAAAAAAAAAAAGGCGTTTCTAACCACTGAAAATTAGAGTGAATTGAGAATTAAGTGCAGGACATACTGGAAATGGGAGCATGTGAAAGGTAGCTGAAGGATGTCAGTTTAATGATTCTAGTGAAGAAAGAGATAATTGTGGGAAGAGAGTGTATTGAGAAGCAGAAAAGAATGGGATTCAGAGTCCAGTTGGAGGGGCCCGTCTTTGAAAGCTGGAGGGATGTTATCTCAGCTGAGGCTCCAAGGAAGAGACAGGAACTGATATAAAGGAAGGGACATGAAAGGTGGAGGAACAGGACAATCCTACATAGGGTTCTCAATCTTCTGAGAGTTTTCTCGAGGTTTTAGTTGAAGGAGAGGGTGGAAAAAGAACATCAGGCAAGAGATGAAGTTTTTGCTTTAACTGCAGAGATGATGTACAGTTTAAGCCAAAGGGGAACAGCTGCTTAGCTACAACTAACCAAAAATAGTGTTTGAAATATTTTTTCTCAGTGCTGGGCATGAGAGTGCCCGTCTCCTTGGTTTAGTTAGTATTTATCCCATTTCACCTCAGGAAATCTGCTCAGCTCTCTTTATTGGCATTATGATCTCTTCAGCACCTATTATATCTCAAGGCTTCATGTTTTTTTGTTTGTCTGTCTTTTGTTTTGGCCACGCAGCATGGCATGTGGGATCTTAGTTCCCTGACCATGGGTCAAACCTGTGCCCCCTGCAGTGGAAGCACGGAGTCCTAACCACTGGACTACCAGGGAATTCCCAAAGGCTTCACGTTTTAAAGAGTGAATTTCCAGGGCCCCCCAAACAGAAAACTTTCCTACAAATGCAGTCATGAATGGACTTAGGAACAGCTGGCCAGGCAACTGACCCAATGTCTGGAATTTGTAAAATTTAGTTAAGGTTTGGCCCCAGGGAAAAGGATTAGGTCCTTCCAGTCCTATAGAGGAAGAGGGATTACTTTGAAGGCCTAATGAAGAAAAATCCCAGTCCTTCCTTTAGCTTTCCATTCTGAGTCAAGAAGGCAATCTATCTTTTCCCCAGAGGCTGCAAAGAGCAGATACTATTCCCCATACTATTAGAGAAGGGAGTCCTCAGCATGGACTCTCCTCTCTAATCCTCTAAATGGGGTTGGGTTAAGTTTAGGAGACGGGCTCAAGGAAAGGAATTACTACGATGATGTCAAGATTGCTAGGTAGCAAACCACTTCCGGATATGGGTAGGGAGAGAACATGATTCTATTTTAAGGAGTAGTGCCTGCATCTGCCTCTTTTGTGGGCTTATGTGGGTGGGGCACATCCCCCTTCCATATATCACAGCTAGCTACCTCTGTCCTGATGACTCGTCCACTAGGAAAAGTTAGGGAGTAATCTGTGAAGAAAATGAGAATATAGGGGAGGCTGTTTACAACGGAACAGAGTTCCAGTATGGGGTGGTGGTGAAGCGGAGGCAGACATTCTCGGCTTTTTCTAATGGATATCTCTTCCCTTCAACTGTGTAAAGTGAGGTTGTTCATTCTTCCACTCCTGTAGGAAAGGGTGGCAGGGTATCATCCTTCTCTTTGCAATCCACTGCTACTTTCAGATGATTGTGCTCTCATCCTCTTGTAAAAACTCTTCCTTCTTTAAAGCTTATGCCATTTGGCTCTAGTACCCTTTATCCCTCATGCTTACTGAGAACTCCAGTGCCTATTAAATAACCTCTCTGTGCCAACTCTTCCTATCTGGGTGGTTTTAGAAAAATCCATGTGATCGTTAGCTAGTTTTTGACCTTCTCAACTCCAACTTATACTCTTACTTTCTTTTTTGTTTTTAATTAATTAATTAATTATATTATTTTTCTTTTTTTTTTGGTGTGTCAGGTCTTCCTTGCGGCATACGGGATCTTTCATTGCAGTGCGCGTGGGCTTCTCTCTAGTTGCGGCATGCGCGTTTTCTCTCTCTGCAGTTGTGGCGCGCAGGCTCCAGAGCGCACAGGCTCTGTAGTTTGCAGCATGCGGGCTCTCTAGTTGAGGCGTGCAAGCTTAGCTGCCCCGCAGCATGTGGGAATCTTAGTTCCCCGACCAGGGATCGAGCCCGTGTCCCCTGCGTTGGAAGGCGGATTCTTTACTACTGGCCGACCAGGGAAGTCCCTACTCCTACTTTCAATTCCTTAACTTTACCATTTCTGGCAACACAAGTTTTTCTTGCTGGCAGCTTAAGGGCCGTAGTAAAGAATGGGAGAGGAAGCATTCTTGACTGTGGAAATATTAGTGGTGCCAGAACTGGCTGCTGTTGACTTCAAGACCCACTGAAAGACTGGGACTGGCAACCATGATATATAAGGATGGAACAGCATGGGGTTTGAATTCCACGTGATATTTGGTGATGGTTCAAGATCTGGATTTGACCTTTATGCCAAGTTCCCAGGAAGCCTGAGTCTTGAGCTAGCTTTTAACCTTTCTTGTTAGCTGCCTTTCTGGGGTCATCTGACACTTTTAATAACTTCCATCCTCTTGAAACACTCTCTTCCTTCTGATTCTGTGACAATTAGGATCCAGTGTTTTTCTTCCTCACTGTTTTTTCCTTTTCAAAGATTCTCCAAGGGCTCTCCTACTTGTGCCTTAAATGTTAGAATTCACCAAGGCACTCTTCTTAGCCCTCTGCTGTTCTCTGGGGAGCTTACCCAAATCTATGGCTTCAACTACCACTGAAATGTTCATGATTCCGAAATTCTGGCCTATACATCATTGGAGTTTTTAAAAAGCAGCTTTCTATAAAAGTAATATATGTTATGTACACAGTAAAACAAATTCAAACAGTAAAGATGAATCTAAAATAAAAAGCATAAGTTTCATCCCTCCCAGGCCCACTCTCCATAGTTAATTTTTTAACGCTTGTGTAAATATGTAAGTATTCTTCTGCATTTGCTTTTTTTCCATTTAATATAATTTTCTCCCATGTGTTGGATCTGTACCTTCAACTGCCATTTGGACATCTCCATCTGGCTGTCCCACAGATAGCTAAAACTCCTTCCCTTTCTTTGTAATTCTCCCTTATGCTATACCCTACTGCTAGCCTCTTTCTACCGTCAACACAGTGAAGAAATTGTCTTTACACACTGTGCCTTTCCAGTCACTCAATTTACCTCAATGTTGTTTCTACCCCCACTGTATCTCTGAAACAGCTTTCTCCAAAATTACTAAACGACTTACTTGTTGCAAAATCCAATGGACACATTTTAGTCCACATCTTACCTGATCTGTTATGTTTGACACTGACCAGTTTCCTTGATACTTCTCTCCTGGTTTCTTCTTTCCTTTCCTTCTCAATGTCCTCTTTTCCTCTCTCTTCCCTCATGTCATCTCAAATTCCTCTTTCTAGGCCATCTTAGTCACTTCCATGGCTTCAACAACCTTCTATATTCACACGCTAGGGCGCCCCCCACCCCGTCCCCCAAACCTTCCTTTTGGACTCCCAACCCACCTTATCTAATATTCTATTGTCTAATGGATATCCCACAGGCACCTAAAACTCACTCTTCCCCCACCCCAAACAACAATGAAAATGGCATTATTCCCCAGGTGCCCAAGCCAGAACACTGGGAAATACCTTGGATTCCTCCCTCAGCCTCATACCCATTTCCGATCAATTTTTCTCCATCTGCACTCCCCACTTCTAGAGGACAGACCGCTGTAGTCTCTTACCAGGGTAAGAGCTTTCCAATTGTTCTTGCATCTAACTTCACACCCTCCAATTCATTCTCCTCACTGCAACCAGTGATCTTTCTAAAACGCAAATATATTTGTTCACACCTCTGCTAAAACTCTTCAAAACCTATTCATTACCCTTAGGATAAAATAATTTACAAGGCCTTGCGTAAACAGGCCCCTCCCAACCTCCGGGACTCATCTATTACCTCTCTTTTAACCAAACCAGGCTGCTGGCAGCTCCAGAAGGTACCTAGTCCCCCACCCTCAATTCCCAACAGTCCAGTATTCAGCTCAGGCGACACTTCCTTCAGGAAGTGGGTGCTCAAAAACCAAAGGCTCAATAAGTGAAATCCGAGAGGGCATCTGAGAAGCACTTTCTGCTCCGGACCCAAGTTTACGGAACGTCCGGGTTACCAGGAAGCTCAGAGCAAAGGTCAAACCCAGATCATGAACCTTCCCCCAAGTTCGCGGGGCAATCCGACCCCCGTAATATTCCGCCCTTATGCGTCATGGCTGCCAGTCGCAGTCTTTCAATGGATCCTGAAGTCGACACCAGACAGCTCCGACCCCACCAACGTTTCCACACTCAAGAACGCAACCCTCTCTCATGCCTTACTACGGCCCTGAAGCCGTCCTGAAGAAAAACTTGCGTTGCCAGCTTGCCCCAAAGCAAGATGGCTGCCAATCTCTATTCTCCGCTACCGAAATGAAGCTAACCACTTCCCGTTTAATGCCGCTGCCCGGCTGCCCTCAACTAGCATGGCTACTCCGGCTCATGCCTCACTATGGTCTCGAAGCCGCCACTAACCGGCCAGGTTCCGGGAGGCGCTGTTCAGGATGCAGCCACCCCCGCCCGCCTCTCCCCTCCCCCACGCCCGCGGCGGCGGCGGCGGCGGCGGCTGGAGCCCGGATGCGGCGCCGTGAGACAGGCCCGGGAGAGCGGCGCGGATGGATCCAACATGGCGGCGCCGAGCCTGAGCCGAGAGTGAGGCGGCGGGGCGGCCGGAGTGGGGAGGGGGAGGCGAGCGGGACGGGGCGGGGCCGGGCGGGGCCGGGCGGGGCCGCAAAGGGCTTGGGGAAGGAAAGTGGAGGGGGAGGCGGTGGCGACGTCTAGCCTGAGAACCTGAAGAGAGGGAGGTGACGGGACGCTGCAAGGTGGGGGAGGGGAGCGGCCGAGGGGGGCGTGCGGGGGAGGTGGCAACTGTGGGAGAGGGCAGGGTCGAGGCGGAGGAGTGGGGCAGGGGAGGGGCGTAAACAAGGGCCGAGGCTGGGCCGGGCTAGGGGTATTAGAGAGGCCGAGGTGGGGAGTGGGGCTGCGGTCCCGCCGGGCTGAGGGGGTAGGAACGGGAAGGAGGGGCCGAGGGTGTGAAGGGGTAGGGGGCTTGTGGCATGTGGTTGGAAGAAGGACTGGACTCTTGTAAGGGGTGTTGTGGAGAGGTGGGAAAAGGTGAAGATTGGATTTGAGACGTTTGGGGGGAGGTTCTGAAAGTGTTAAATTGGAGGTGGGAGGGGGAAGGGCGTAGGGGAGAATTTGGGTGGAAAAGGAGAGGACGGAGGTTTGGGGAATGGAGAGCGTGCGTGTCGGTGTGACGAGGTAATGGAGAAAGTGAGAGACTAGGAAGAAAGTTTGGGAGGAAGGGGAATGGGATGGGAGATAGGACAGTGTAGCTGCACGAGTGATAGAGGTTCAGGGGTTTCCCTTTCCCCTGTAGAAAGGAAGAGAGAGCAGAGTTAAGCAGCATCAGTTACAGCCAATTCTAATTGCCAGGCCTTTAGCTTTTACTAGGGTGGGAAGGGCAGAAGGGAATGGTCATGTGGATTTGGAGAATTGGGGTTGGATGAGGGTTCAACTGGATTTCCAAAAGCTGCCTAGCTTACTGCTCCCTTGTTTTTCCTGGTTACAAAAAGAAGAGAAAATGGGGAGCCTGGTATCGCTGGAGTGTGGAAGGAGTAAAGGACTTTTCTAGTTTTAAACAATTAGCAATGCCAGAATGGGGAAACAGCCATGCTATGTTGGAACGCTGTTTGCAGGGAACAGAAAACACAGGATGGTGTCTAGGCAGCCATGCTAATTAAATGAGTGCTTTCGTTTCCAGACCCTTCTTTTGCTGTTTAAGTGCTAGGAGTGAGGGTCAGTATCCATACATAAAAAATGTTCCCTGGTGAAATGTAGATGTTTGACTGGATGCTGCCCCAGTGGATATTTTGTTCTCACAGTGTGTGAGAATTTGGAGGATAGTTCTGGTCTCATAAGTGAAGTAATGGAAAGAAAGTGCCTTCTTTGTCTGTAACCACTTTCCTCCTAGTTCATCTAAAGATGAAAGTCAGTGTTAATACTGCAGCAAAGTAGGTGGGCCTCATAAGGAATTGAGGAGTCAGGTGAGGTGTCAGAGGATAATTGGTTTTCCCACACGTTGTTGAATTTGGGACCTTTCTTGCCCTAAGCCACGGAGACTGCAAATTCTTGGAGTTGGTATTGTGTTGTGAATTGGGTAATAGAAGGTTAGGGAAGCCTGGGGACTCTGATGGGAGTGAGTTCTCTCATTTAACTTGGAGTGGATCATTTCAATTGAAATGGCTTTAGGCTTGTCTGTATATTTTTGCAGCTGAGATTGACTACCTCTTTGAGGTTTCAAAATAAAGCTTGAAAATTGACGCTTCCCCCTCTTATTTGTTTTTGCTTTGCTGCTGGCTTTGAACCTTGTGCTAGGAAGAGACCTGGGAAATTAAGTTTCTTGCAGAGGTAAGTCTGGAACTTTTTATTGTTTTCAAACAATGGAAGGGAATGGAAATGGCATGAAATGGAAATAGCATATTGGGAGTTGAGCTCAGTAATGGGGTAGCTGACAGGGAAAATGGGTTTTCAGTGGGTAAGATCTGTTGCAGTCGTTGTCCCTTTGGGTCACTGGAGATTGGTAGGAGGGAAAGGAGAACAGAAATTAGGTGTCTTAGGGCAAGACTCCAGCCTTGTTTTGTTATTATCTAGCCTTCGTGGTCAGCTCTGAGAGAAACATTTTTAAACTTTGTACTCCAGTACAGTGTCTATTAAATGTTGCCCTTGGAGGGTTGCTGAGGCACCTGCCCTGGGAAGGCTTTTCCTCTAGCTTACTCTTTCTCCTAGTTGTTCTGGAATCTTCATTTTGAAAACACAGTTTGTAATTCTGACTTCCAGATATTTGGTTACATTTTCTTGGTCCTACCAGCAAGAAAGCTCTTTATGTAGTCGTCTTAGTCATCTTTAAGGTTTTCCATGTCCTTTACATTTCAAGTTTCAAGACATCACTCTTTTTTAGATTTTCCACATGACTTTCCCTCTCACAGGGCTTCTGAGAGAGTCAAATACCTCTGGTTCTTTTGGGATGAAACTAGACTGTTGTTTTCATTTCAAGACATCACTCTTTTTATTTCTTTCACATGACTTCTAAGGGCTTCTGAGAGAATCAAGTACCTCAAAAAATACAGATCTCATCCCTGGTTGGGATGAGACTAGACTTTGCATGGAAGTAGAAATCTAATAGATAACGATTAGTCAGGAGGAGGTCCTGTAGATACATATAGATTGTTGGCCCTTGGCTGGCTTGGACCTCCCAAAAGAAAACGAACAACAGAAAACCCTGCAGCTCCAGGAAATGCAGCAATTCATCAGAATAAAGAATGAGTCTTGGGAACCTATGAAGGGTGATCCATACGTTAGGCTCCCAAAAAGGCCCAAATCAGCCAGCAGGATCAGGACTGTTGTTTACTGGAGTGTTTGTCTCTTGGTGTCTGGCAATATTTCAGGCACCAAGATTCTGAAGTTCTTTCTAATCTTCAGTTTTAGAGGAGTATATTCTCCTCACTACCCTGATACTTTTCACCTAGGATCTCTGTATAATTTAAGCTGAGTTCCTTCGATTCACTGCCACAGAAAGCTGAGTATATTTTGGTTTAAGAGGAAGTTGGCCACGTTCTTTTAGTGCTGAAGTTAGATAGATTCTTGGAACCCCCATCTGGATTGCTGAGTGAGTGAACTCACCATCCTAGATGATAATTAAGTGGGGAGGGCTGCCTATTAGTCTGCATGCCAGCCTCCTGACATTTCTCCCAAGGACAAGCATGGCCTTGGGAAACTTCTGCCTCTTTTTGCTTCATTGCATAAGCAGTATAAGTCTGATCAGCAGCGTAACAGGGAAGGGTCTGCTTTTGGTCTAGTTTTGGGACTTTAAAGATGGCTGCAAGGTTTAAGTGAAGGATCCTTTCTGTCTGTCTTGCAGAGGATGGCATTTCTCTGATCTGCACAGAAATTTAGATTGAACTAGGTCAAATTAGACCTCCTGGGATGGGGCGGAAGGGAGTGTAGTCCTGTCACCTGCTGTTCACCTAAATGGCAACAGCAGGTGATAGAGAAGCCAAGGTTGGAGTGGGATGGAACTCCTTAGTTAAGTTAAATGAGTCTTTGTCTGACTGGCTTTTCTTCTGGAATATTGTTTGATGGGTTTGGGCTGGAGGGACCAAATTACTTCCTTTTCCAGATATAGGATGGAAGCGACATGCTGTCTCTCCTTTTGACCCTCCATCTAGAATAGGATTTCTCATCTTTAGCATTATTGACATTTTGGACCAGATAATTCTTTGTTGTAAGAGGCCGTCCTGTGCATTATAGGATGTTTAGCCTCATCCATCGCATTTACTCACTGCACGCCGGTAGCACCCTCCCTTACCACCCTCCCAGTCCTGACAATCTAAAATGACTCTAGACATTGCTGAATTCCCCTGGAGGGCAGAATCGCCCCTGGTTGAGAACCACTGACCTAGAAGCTCTGATAATTCCCGTCACTTTGATCCAGCCTAGGATCTGCGACTTAAAGGTGGCTGTTTTTTCCTCAAATCTAGGGAGTTAACCCTCAGGATTGAGACCTATTGTAGAATTGCATCCATTGATACATAATTAGGACCACAGTGCTTTCCTGTATTCTGCTTCATTTTCCAGTGACCAGGTATGTGGGGACAATATTTCCTAATTTCCTGGGGTTTATAGTCAGGACACTTTGAATTAGGGAGCTCTGAAGCAGCCTGCTCTTCTGATTGGTTGAATGTGAAACCTGCCCATCTGTTTTTTATGGGATCCACATAATGAGCAGCTGGCCAAGGGGAACAGGTGGGATAGGGAACAAGGAGAAGTTGTAGGGGCTCTAAGGAGACTCAGTTTTCTCATGTTACCTGCTATGAGCAAGAAGTTGTTTTCCTTCAGTCCCCTCTATTTGTAGCCAGTGACTGCAGCAGGTGAAACAAGAGAGGAAGAGACAAGGAAAACCAGTCAATAGTTGAATCGCTATTTTCCGTGTTGTTTCCCATGCTTTGGGTGGGACATCTGGGCTCTCATAACTAGATATGGGCTATATTTCCTGTCCACCTATCTGAACCCATGGTATGGGGCTAGGTGATTACAGGGTGGCCCTCCCTTTTTCTTTTCTTATTTGTTTATTTATCTGTTTTTGGCTGTGTTGGGTCTTCATTGCTGCGCATGGGCTTTCTTTAGTTGCGTCGGGCGGGGGCTGCTCGTTGTGGCAGTGCGCGGGCTTCTCACTGCAGCGGCTTCTCTTGTTGGGGAGCATGGGCTCTAGGCACGTGGGCTCAGTAGTTGTGGCTCGCGGGCTCTAGAGCGCAGGCTCAGTAGTTGAGGTGCACGGGCTTTAGTAGTTGTGGCTCACGGGCTCTACAGTGCAGGCTCAGTAGTTGTGACGCATCGGCTTAGTTGCTCCACAGCATGTGGGATCTTCCCGGACCAGGGCTCGAACCCGTGTCTCCTGCATTGGCAGGCGGATTCTTAACCACTGTGCCACCAGGGAAGTCCTCCCCTTCTCTTAAGGGTATGAGTCTCTCTGTGTTTCTGTTTCAGGATTACAAGAGAGAACCAGGTCCTACTTGCTCTTCAATTTTCTGAGTCCCCAACAGCTTGACATTTCTGAAGTAGTTTATAATTTTATTCTCTTTCTAACCTAGCCTCAGTTTCTTGGAGTATAAAATGGACAGAAGGGCCTGTCTCGCTGTTGAGTAGGGTGCTATGGTATGGGTAGTTTTGCAATGTGGGGGAGGCTATAGCCAGTTAGAGTATATGCATGATACCTGAGTTGCATGTACTTTTAATTGGGTCCTCTCACTCTTGGATTTTTGTGAGTTTTTTTCTTAATTGGTGTTGCTTGTGGTGATCTCTTGGAGATTCATTTCAGTTCAACAACAGGTTACTCCTACTATATGCCAGCCTCCATTTATTGCTAGGCACTAGACACATAAAGATGAATATGACCTAGGCCCTCTACATGAGTCGCTTAAGATCTAATAGGATAATAAGCACACAAATAATTTTAGTACACTTCGATAAATGGTTTAAGGGAAATATGTACAGTGTTCCATAGGAGCACAGAAAAGGACTACTTATACCAGCATGGGGGTGTAAAGAATGAATTTGAAGATGGCATCTGAGCTGATTCTTAAAGGATGAGTAGGAGTTAACCATCTGAAAAAGGGTGGTAATGGGGGGTGTGGAAGAGAAGGGAGAGGGGCATTCAGGCAAAGAGAAAGTTACAGAGAAATGTCTGAAGTCTGAAGAAAGTTACAGAGAAATGAATTGTATGATGTATGTGAACTATAAACAAACGGATAATGTTAGAGAATAAAAAGTGAGTTATGAGGTTGGCAGAGTAGGCAAGGCCTGATCTTGGAAGGTTTGGTGTGTTGGGTAAGGAGTTCGGAGTGTTCTTATTGGTAAGGAGGGGACTGCAGCGAGGTCTTAAGCCGAAAAGTGATGTGGTCAGTTGTGCATTTTAGATAATTAAGCTGGACGTGGGAGATTGATTTAGGCAGGTTAGGGTTGGTAATCCAGGTGAGTAATCCATGTGAGAGATTACTGGGGCCTGAACCATCATGGTAGAGGTGGAAGAGTGAGGCAGATTTAAGAAATAGAAAGTAGCATCAACAGGAATTTATAATTGATTGGGTGATTGGAGGTTGTGGTCAGATGGTGGACCGGTATTGCGTGGTACTGTCTGCCAGGGCAGTAAATATGAGTGGCTAGAGAGGAGGTGAAAGTTGTTGGACTTGAGGATTGGTTATTGGCTGGGTCACTGATACTACCCAGGATGATGGAGGAAATTTGTGAATTAAATGCCAAAATATATAATAAATGTAGGACTGCGATTGGTCATTGACAGGGGATTGGTAAATGACAACCATGAGGAAAGGTTAGAAGGTGACATATCCAAACGGTGTGTGAACATCAGGCGAGTACAGGTGGCATAGGAGACTTACAAGAATGCTCAACCTAGGAGCTTAGTGATGTTTATTGTTTTAAATCCATGAGTTTTGGTGGATATTTAATTAACTTTCTTAGCATTTATTCTCCTGGACTTGGTTTGATTGTAGGAAAAATGAGATTAGGTTTGTGGAGGGATGAGTCTGGGCTGCAGAGGCCAAGGAGGCTTATCTCTTTGAAATCTCTTAACCATTTAGATAAGTTTTACAGTGATTTCACATGCATCTTCTCATTGGATTCTTAACTCCGAGGAGTTAAGTCTTTCATCCCTGTTTTATAGATGGGGACAGTGAGACTTTGAAGTTAAGTGACTTAAGGTCACACAGCTACACAGTTTGTTAATGACATAGGCAGAATTTCTTTTTTTAAGTCCCATTTTTCTTTTTTCTCTTCATGGTTATTTACGGCTGCGCTGGGTCTTCGTTGCTGCACATGGTCTTTTTCTCTAGTTGCGGCAAGCAGGGGCTACTCTGTTGTGGTGCACGGACTTCATTTTGGTGGCTTCTCTCGTTGTGGAGCACAGGCTCTAGACGTGTGGGCTTCAGTAGTTGGAGCTCACAGGCTTAGTTGCTCCGTGGCATGTGGGATCTTCCTGGACCAGGGATCGAACCTGTGTCCTTTGCATTGGCAGGTGGATTCTTAACCACTGTGCCACCAGGGAAGTCCTGAAATAGGCAGAATTAAAACTAGTTCTAACCCTAAAGGCTTTCAGTTTCCCTGTTGTCGGCCCCTAAGTTCATCTGATGCAGCTTCTGTATTAGAATTTAGAGTGAATTCTCTACTTCTCCTCGTTTCACCTACATTTAAGGGGTGAATTGATTGGGGGTGCTGGCAGGGAGAGCACAAGGGACCAAAAGCAGTATTTTGGAGGCCAGAGGAACAATTGGGGTAATATTTAATAGAAAATTCTGCTGAATATGTAGTGCTAAAATTGCAGTTAACAAGTCTTACTTAGCAGAAGTTACTATCTTTTTCCAGTAGGATCTGGACTTAGGGCAGCATCTGTTGGATATACAGAGCTCTAGGCTGTATTTTTTAATAAGTACTTTGTAGGGACTTCCCTGGCAGTCCAGCAGTTAAGACTCTGTGCTTCCAATGCAAGGGTCGGGGAACTAAGATCCCACATGCCGCGTGGTGCAGTCAAAAAAAAAAATAAATAAATCCTTTGTAAAAGTTAATGAATGCTTATTAAGCACTACACTGTGCCAGGCATTGTGTTGGGCTCTGGGAATATAGGAATGGACGACTAATTCCTGACACTGAGTGGTTCACAGGTTCTTTCCTTTTCCTTATAGTATAGTGGGGATTGCAGCTGCTGAGCAGGGATTCTGGAAAGCGTTGTGCACCTGAGCCCCCAGCATGGCGGGCCTAAAGCGGAGGGCAAGCCAGGTGTGGCCCGAAGAGCACGGTGAGCAAGAGCATGGGCTGTATAGCCTGCATCGCATGTTTGACATCGTGGGCACCCACCTGACACACAGAGACGTACGAGTTCTTTCCTTCCTCTTTGTTGATGTCATTGATGACCACGAGCGTGGCCTCATCCGAAATGGACGTGACTTCTTATTGGCGCTGGAGCGCCAGGGCCGCTGTGATGAGAGTAACTTTCGCCAGGTGCTGCAGCTGCTGCGCATCATCACTCGCCATGACCTGCTGCCCTACGTCACCCTCAAGAGGAGACGGGCTGGTGAGGGTGCATTGGGGGCTGGGGACACTGGAATCAGGGAAGAGCTGTGGGCGGCCCTGTGTGAGCAGCATGGGAGTCCAAGCAGAAGGAGGCATTGACGCTGGGGAGTACTGAGGAGAATAAGTTATGAGGCCCATTGGAGGGTTGGACTAGGAAAAGGGAAGGGTGTATCTTTTCCTGAGTGAATCCCTCTCCCCCTACAGTGTGCCCTGATCTTGTAGACAAATATCTGGAAGAGACATCAATTCGCTATGTGACACCCAGAGCCCTCAGCGATCCAGAACCGAGGCCTCCCCACCCCCCTAAAACAGGTGAGACAATATTAACTCCCCCTAATTTCCATAATCAAGAAAGAGGACACTGGACCCATCTTTTCCCAGTTTTGCCAGCCTAAATGAAAGGACAGTGTTCCCCCCCATATCTGGCCCCCCCAAAATCAGATGAGGTGTTAATGCTTCATCTGGGTCCTGTAATTGTTCCCACATTGTGTCCACCTTTCAGGTCACATTATTGATACTGCTTTTAGTGCTAAGTCTAAATGATCCTTCCTCATTCCAAGTGAAATATTTGAATTTCTGCTTTTACCCTACTATGTCTCCCTTTTTACCCTCTGGTCAGTGCCTCCCCACTATCCTGTGGTGTGCTGCCCCACTTCGGGCCCTCAGATGTGTAGCAAGCGGCCAGTTCGAGGGAGAGCCACACTTGGGAGCCAGCGAAAACGCCGGAAGTCAGTGACACCAGATCCCAAGGAAAAGCAGACATGCGGTGAGGAAGTTCAAGGGTTCTAGAGGTAGAGTAGACTTGAAGGGAAATACAAAGAACTGCTGGAATACTGGGCAGTTATTCTATTCAGTGTAAGGCTCAGTTTGATTGCTGTTGCAAAGTGAGATTGAATGGTATAGTCTCTGGGAGGAGAACTCCTCTTCCTTTGTGGCAGAGTACATTTCAACTCTTTCTAGGTAATACTAGATGAAAGGGATGCTGTTATGACATCCTTATTGTAGGATGACCCAAGTCATGATAGAGTATTAAAGTGAAATTCTGTGTCTCTTAATTAGGAAAATATCTCCTAGAATCAAGGTGCTACTTGTGAGTGATGGAAGTAATCTGACCTGGGCATGGCCCATTTAGGGGAACCTCTTGAGTTCAGGCAAGGATTTCAGAGGTACACAGAAAAGAACTAGTCCTGGGAAGAGGTAGAGAAGCTGTCAGGTGATGTTCCCAACTTTGCTACTCTGCTGTTCTATTCAGCCTTTCAAACTTGGGTGTAAACTGCAACCTCTTCTGCATATCTTCTTTTCCCCACAGACATCAGACTGCGGGTTCGGGCTGAATACTGCCAGCATGAGACTGCTCTGCAGGGCAACGTCTTCTCTAACAAGCAGGACCCACTTGAGCGCCAGTTTGAGCGCTTTAACCAGGCCAACACCATCCTCAAGTCCCGGGACCTGGGCTCCATCATCTGTGACATCAAGTTCTCTGAGCTCACCTACCTCGATGCATTCTGGCGCGACTATATCAATGGCTCGTTACTAGAGGCACTTAAAGGTGTCTTCATCACAGACTCCCTCAAGCAGGCTGTGGGCCATGAGGCCATCAAGCTGCTGGTGAATGTGGACGAGGAGGACTATGAGCTGGGCCGACAGAAACTCCTGAGGAACTTGATGCTGCAAGCATTGCCCTGACCTTTTTCCCCTTCTCACTTCTCTGGGGACTTCTCACCACCCACCTCTGGAGCTTACATACCGTTCTGGGGTTTGTCCTCTACCCTTCCAACCAATCACACCCCTGCCTTTTTTTTTTTTTTTTTTAGCATTGCCCTGACCTTTTTCCCCTTCTCACTTCTCTGGGGACTTCTCACCACCCACCTCTGGAGCTTACATACCGTTCTGGGGTTTGTCCTCTACCCTTCCAACCAAATCCCCCCCCTGCCTTTTTTTTTTTTTTTTTTAAAGGAAAAGACAAACGAAAAATGGAAGTGGTGTTCCCCACCCCTCCCTGCACCCATGTGCCTGGGCTTCCCTTTGTTTCCCTTTTCCACTTACCCCACCTCATGTGTGTCTCTACAGCCACCTTGCCACTGAGCCATAAGACAAATGTATAGGGAGAAGCAAAGTCTATAGAACATAGTCTTTGTAAGGGATTGAAGTGATCACTGCTTTTGGGTGCATTGAGGGGTCATCAGTACTTCTGGCGTTATGAGGGCTCTTAAATTTTGTCTGAGAAACCAAAGGGCTGTCAGTAGGGAGCTGTGTGGAAGGTGGGACTCTGAAGTGTATTTTGGAAATTAATCACCACCCTCTCCCAAATTATAGAATTTTTAAAAAACGAAGCTGTGGCCCTTTCCACTCTCTTCTGGCCCTTGGTGCTGCTCCTCTCGGCCTCGTTTCCTCCATTCCATGGCTTGAAACCTCGGCCTGGTGTGGCTCCTTCCTTTTCCCTCTTTGTCAAACCCTCTTCAAAGGAGTAATAGGTAAGCGGACTAGGTCAGCCTAGTCGCCCTCCCAACTGTGGTGTGTGTGTACACACATACACAGGGTGGATGGAGAAGAGGTTGCTGATTAAAATACACTCCCCCTAAAAAGGGGAAGGGGGAGTGTGACACTTCCTTTCCATGTTCAAGTGAAAATAAATAATGTACCCTGCAGCCCTTTTCCCCTTTGCTTTCTTCTGGCTTGGGCAAAGGGCATCATAGGTGAAAGTGAAATGATTCAATATCAATTCCTTTCTTCTTTTTCTTTCCCCATCCTCTATCCCCACTCCCACCCCCAAGCTTGGGAGCATGGGGTTGGGACATGCACTGAGTGTCGCACTTTTATTTAGATAGGGAGGCATGTTGAATGAGTCAGGAGGCCTAGAACTGGAGTCTAGTCCAGCTGGTACAATACCACCTCCCCTTTCAGCTCCCAAAAGAGATATCCAGACACAGACTTTACGATTATTATATTTTTTTCATTGCCAGTGCTGCTCAGCCCTCAGCATAACTTCAGTTTTCATGAAATAAACAGTGACTATATAAAATTCCACCTTTCTGAAACTGAAATCTGAGCTCAGGTGAAAGTTTCTTCTTTCCCAAGAAGTTGAGCCTGTGTTCCAGCAAGAGAGACAAGGTTCTCCAAGTGAGGGGAGCTGCACCTGGGTCCTGCCTACAAGTCACAGCAACACCAGCTCACAATGGGGGTCTCAAAGGACAGAAGTCAAAAGTCTTAAGACAATGGGTGACCCAGATGGCCATAGAGTTCAGGCCTACGATGCTGGAACACAGGCAGGTGTTGGCGCAACCGTCGCAGATAACTGAGGTCAATTCGGGCAAGGCAGAGGCCTGGTCCTTCAGAGCAGCGGGCCACCACTGTTCCCCAGGGATCTACTACCATGCTATGGCCATAACTTGCTCTCTTCTCATGGTGGCGTCCACACTGTGCTGCCGCCACTACGTAGCACTGGCTTTCAATGGCACGGGCCCGCAGCAACACCTGGGGATGGAGGACATAGGCGTTCACTTAAATCCAGGTAGCAGCTAGTAGGGAAGTGATAGGCCATGGACTACAGGCCAATCTCCCCACTGTGACCATTCTGATAATTGCCTATGAATGATTTACTATGTTAACTATTCTGAGAGGCAACAATCTGGGGAAATGAATTTTCCCACTAGGTGGGAAGTAGAAGAAAATCTTTTAATTGGTAGAGCCAAAGGAGGAGAATGAGGTAAGAGAAGGCCCTTATGTTCTAAAGAGGTGTCCTCTTACCTCCCAATGGGCTGGGCCTGTAACAGATCCAAACGCTGAAGGGTAGGTAAGTATTTCTGCTCCAGCCTGAACCAATGCCAGAGAGAGTTCAGGGAACCGCATGTCGTAGCAGATAGCTAGACCAATCTGGAATGAAAACAGCCTATTTAGTCTCCCGCCCTGTTTGTCACAGCATCTGGTCATAACCCCGCTACTCCACTCCTTAGGGCTTTCTGTCCTCTACTACCACTTCAAAATATTCCTAGTCCCCTCCCTCTCGTTCCTCTCCCACCCTCATCCTTTCACAACTCCCACCTTGCCTGCTGGTGTGCTGACAGGAGACTCTAGACTGGGCCCAGGTATGGTAGAGTTGCTTTCATGCATAGGCCCCTGCCCTGGAATCTCTACGTCACACAGATGCGTCTTCCTATACGTGGCCACTACTGACCCTTGAGTAAGAGGGAGAAAGAGTACTCAGTGCTGGTGCTCTAGAAGCCCAGCTTAGTTCCTCTCCTCCCAAAGAGGAGGCAGCTTATAGGCTAGGAACAGAAATACAAACGCCCCTAAAACCCTTGGCCAAGAAAACAGAGTTGAGAAACAACACAGAATTCTGGAGAATCTTAGAAGAGCCTGAGAAGAGGCAGGCTGAAGAGTCTCACCCTTGTTGTTCAGAATCACATGACAATTGTAGATTTTCTGAGTCTGCTCCCAGTCTTGGCCACGCTCGTGGAAACCACCCAAGGACAGCCAGAGTCCACATTCCCTGAGGGGGAGGGGACACTGACAACTCTTCTCAAGGCTCTACCCTCATATCTGGCAATCCTGGGACATTACCCAGAAAGAACTACTACTCCCTCCCCCTCCCCCTGATACCTGGCAAGCTGGGTATATTCTCCCAAAAGGTTCCCACCCAGTGGCTCAGACAGGTGAAGCGTCTCTTCAGGGTTCCGTGCAATGAAGTCAAATGCCTCAGGCAGGAAAGCCAGGCAAGCGCCCAGTCTGGCAGCCTCCCGAATCAGCTCGGCACACGTTATAAAGTTATGCTCCTTGTCTGGTGTCGATGTTACCTGGCACACAGCCACCAGGGGTAGTTCCCAGGAGGAAGAGGAGACAGCCATGGCTCTGAGTCTGTAAATGGCACAGGCAGGACTCAGACTGACTAGCGTGGGGAAACCCAAGTTTAATGATAAGAGGCTAAATTGGGGAGGCAGGAAGCCTGGGCTTTCCTTTGAATCTGCTCTTCCAGGGCACAGTGACCCATGGTACAATGACCCACTGATCAAATGTTCTGTGATGGTTGGCACCCCAGTGTTTCCCACCATCCATACATTTAACAAACATTTACTGAGCATCTAGTATGTGCCAGGCACTGAGAACACAACAAAACATGTTACCTGGGCTGAGCACAAAGTACTGAGAGTCGAGGTATCCGGAGTCCAGGACACAAAAGAAGGGACAGGAGCTGGTGAGGAGGCCTGATGATGAAACCCAACCTGAAAAAGGTGAGAAATCAGGACACCAACCCCACTCTCAAGCAATACCTTTCTAAGATCCTCTGACTTCTCCCTTCATACTGTGAAGCTGAATCAGGGCCCCGCCTGTAAAACCCCCCAAGTCTTCAAAACACTCTGTACCTTAAGTAATTATGGGCTACCAGAAGAGCTCATAAAGTGGGAAGATGGAGGAAAGGGCTTTGATCTCACATTAAATTGAAGCCTCTTTCCTCAGTCAAATGTTTCCGCAGTTCACAAGTCATCTCCAAGATACTTCTTTGGTTTTCCCAGCCTCTGTTCTTGACTGTGCACCTGCACAGTTTTATTGACGCAAACCATATTTCCCCCACCAGAGTCTCTGAGGGTAAGTTCACCCTCCCTCGTTCCTCATCACCCAGGGCCCAACCCACGCCCCACTCTCCAGTTAACCCGTTCTTCCCCGCCTCTCCCAGGGGCAGCGTCTCTGTTGCACAAGTTAAAGCATGGCAGGTGAGAGTCACCGCAGCGGTTGGGATAGGTAGTAGGTCCTACATGAAGATACGGCCAAAACGATTCGCAGGATCCGAACCGAAGAGGGGCCTGGAGGTGGGGTCGCCGGGGGCGAGAGGGCGGTAACTCCGAGGCCGGACGTGACGCAGGGCGGGTGGGCTGAGCTACGCAGGCCGGAAGCCCAGCAGGCGGTGAAGATGGCGGAGAATAGCGGCCGCACTGGCAAGAACAGCGGGAGCGGCGCGGGGAAGGGGACGGTGTCAGCAGAGCAGGTGGGGAGCACGGAACGCGAAGGAGGGCAACCCGGCTGGGTCCGGAGTCGATGTGAGAACGGGGGAAGCCTGTGGCTGGTGCAGACCTTTACTCCAGTCCCACATTTGCGTGGCCACCCAGAGAGGGGAGGGTCCTTGGAGAAGCTAGCCGAGCCCCCGGGGAGAGAGTAGGCGGATTGGTAGGTGAAAGCCACGCCCCCTCGGGGTGTTGAGTGAGCCAGGGGGATAGAAAAGCTCTGAGAAACAGGGTCTGGGAGGATGCGCAAGTCTGAGGAAAGATGGGTGGTCACTTTCCTTATTTTCCTCCGCACCTTCAAACAGGGTATGGCTGGGCAAGGCAGCTCCTAACGAATCCCAGGGGATTAGTCAGCGGCTGGGAGTGTAGTCTGTTACTGGACCCTGAAACCACGTTGAAAATCGTCATCGCTCTGCAGAGACACGTGACTCACATACTCGAACAGTCTAGTGTTTCATACTGTTTTGATTCGGGAGTCATTACTAGATTGAATTTTTTTTAGAGACCAGAAATCCTTTACTAAAAATCCGAGCATGCATTTCCCCTAGTGCCTTGCCTAGCACCGGGAAACGTTTGATAAATTAATCAGAAAAGCCCCTAGTGGCTTGGGAACCATGGTTTGCTAATAGTGGGGCTCGTGTTTACTAGGGGTGGGAAGAAATCTGCGTAATAGGGAAACGTAGTCAAAACAACAGCTTTTTAAATTATAGTTTCATTTATCAGTTATTTGTTGAACAGTTACTATAGGCAGAGGTATTTGCATAAAGATCTTTAAAACTGACCCCTACAGTCAAAGAGCTTATAGTCTGGTGGGA